TCAAGAGAATTCTAAATAGAGCTCTCTGAAAGTGGAATCAACTGTCTTAGGAAGTAGTGAATTTCCCCTCAGTGGAGGTCTTGAAGCAAATGCAGTATGATTGCTTCTCAAGCATATTGTAGAAGAGAGTTCTCTTTGGGGTATGAATTGAATGAGATGGCCACTGATCTCTTCCAACTCTGTGCTTTCGTGATTTCATGACTTTCATTCAAGTCATATATATCTCTGCTACTTAGAAGCTCCATGACAGTGGGAAGTAACTTAACTTTTCAGAGAATCCCACCGTTAGAGGAGACCTCAGAGGTCATCTGGCTAAACCCAGACCTACAAAGTCTTTCTACTGTAATGTACCTGATAGGTAGTCATCCAGTCTTTAAGAATTTCAGTGAGGGGAGAACCCACCACCTGCTGAGGTAGCTTATTCCATGTTTATAGAACACCCATTCTCAGAAGTCTTTTTCCTTTATAACAAGCCCAGATTTGCTTCTTTGCTACTTCCACCTACCAATTGCTCCTAGTTCTGCCCTCCAGAGTCAAGCAGAGAAAGTCTAATCAATTTTAAATATGACCTTTTCCTCAGCCTCAGTTTCTTCACCTATAATATGGGGGCAGTAATCCTACCTGCTTCACAGGGTTATTGTTCCTTTATAGAGTCATTGTGAGAAACAAATAAGGTAAAATGCTTTGTAAACTTTAAAGGGCTATAAATGTAAGTTTGCTTTTCTTGTTATTGACTAAGTTCCCTTGGATGAGTATAGAATAGACTCGACTTTACACTAAATTCTTCTGGTTAGATCTGGTCATAATGTATAGGGGACTTCAGTGCATTTCCATCTAAGTGTCTGGCTGTTGGCAATCTAAAATCAAAGCAAGAAGATACATGCCCCAGGACTCATAGCCATCAGGGCAGACTGAAAGAGAATTAAACATTGGACCTAAAGGGAATTTTTAGCATCTCTCAGCTCTCCTTTCTAGTCCTCTTTTTGGGGGCTTTTCTGGGATTCTGTATTTCTGGCTATGAACATAGTCCATGATTTTGTGTCCTAATCTAATGCTACATAATACTTAGTGAATGGTAGAACTGACCGTTAGTGGCTCGTCAATGTGGGCATAACTGATAGAAATATGTTAAATCAATAGAATGTGGAAATGATTCATTTTTAAATGGTTTTAAATTTTTGTTTGTACTTGTACCCACTTGAGTTAATGTCAATAAATGAGAGAAAGCATTAACAAATGTATTAATTAATAGTGTTGTTGTGAATAAACTTTTTTAGGTTAAGCAATACAACAAATTGTCACTCAATGGAAATACTGAGTGAGGCTAAGCCCTTATTTGAAATGATTCTGCATTTCACACCTGCTTGCTAAATTAAAATATAATTTCTCTCACTTCACTGTACTCAAATGGATGAGAGGGAGCCTCAGTACAATTAAACAACAGAAGCATAAATAATGGCATAATTATTGAATTTTGTAATGGTTTTTTCAGGTTTGGAGTCATTAATATGGTCCTTGGTTTTCTGTTTGATGTTTATCTTAATGATACTAAATGTCTTTTATTTTGCTGGCGTTAGCCACCTTGGTGCAGGGAACTCCTGGTCTCAAAAAGAATCATCCATGTTATTTGGTCAGAGACCAAACCTGAGAAGTGGAATTTCTCAATTCCTTTGAATACTTACATGTTGCCTGCTCTATAAAGAGAGAGTATTATTGTTTTTGGCCCTCAGAGGCTCTAGGAATTAGGAATTGTTGTAAGACTTTCAAGATAGGATTTCCTTGTTTGATGTCATAATTATTAAGGAATTTCAGTCTCTTGTGTCAAACAATTCCAGTGAAATTGGCATGCCAAATGTAAATTCTGAGGTTCAGAGGGGGGAAAAGATAATTTAGTGAACTAAATATTACTAACACCATCTAACATCATTAATTGATTCTCTGAAAATACCATTAATTGAAAGAAAAAGAAGAATAGCTAGAACTTAAATAGCAATATAAGGTTTGCAAAGCACTTTACAAGTATTATCTCATTTTATCTCCTCAACAGCCTTGGAAGGTAAATGCTCTTGTTACTTTACAGATGAAGAAACTGAGGCTTAAACTTTTTTTTAAATTTTTTTAAATTTTTAACAAATGTTTTTAAAACTTTGGGTTACAAATTTTCTCCCTTCCTCCCTCCCCACTTTTTGAAAAGGCAAGCATCTCGATACAGGTTATAGATGTGTAGTCATGCAAAACACTTCCATAGTAGTCCTGTTGTGAAAAACTAAGTATATTTCCCTTCATCCTATCCTACCCCCCATTTATTCTATTCTCTACAAGCTCCACCATGCCAGTGCTCCTCCTTGCCCCAGGACTGCCACCCAGAACTGTGACCCAGATCCAAGCACAGGAAAAGCAAGAGAATCCTGCACCAGCAGAGAGATCCCTGCAATCCCTCTCTGATCAGCCACTCTATTCCCCCTCAGTTTGTGGGCCAGAAGCTCAGGAGGCAGCTGCTGCCCCTGCCAAGCTCAGGGACTGGAGCTGAGACCACTGCCTTCTCTCTCTCCCCGCTGACACAGACTTTTCCCACTGACCTTTTAAGTTGTCTTTGGCATTCATGGGTTGAGAAGTCTGGAGACCGCCATAGCTGCCTGCGATTCAGTCCTCTGAGGCCTGCTCCAGGGTCGCTGCAGCCTGCGTGCCCACGCCAAACTGCGCTCCTACGCCAAACTGCGCTCCACTCCCAGCCTGGCGTGATATACCTTTATGATCAACCATCCAGGCTGTGTTGGGCTGGCAATTTGCTTCCCTCTATCTTTTTGTGGGTTCTGCTGCTTTAGAATTTGTTTGGAGCCATTTTTTTGTAGGCATTTGGAGGGGTTTGGGGGAGAGCTCAAGCAAGTCACTCCTTTTACTCCGCCATCTCGGCTCCACCCCTTGAGGCTTAAACTTTAAAGAATGATGTGAATATCAATTATTATTAGCATCTGATGGCCCAACACAACCAAAACTAGTCACAAAGTTCAGCTACTTTTTTATGTCATTTTATGAAAAAATCAGCCAGCTCACAAAGACTAGAAATTACAGCGATGGGCATTGGTGAAGGGAATTTCTTCATCCGGGAGTTCTATATTCCAATGAAATTATAGGTCTCGTTCCTGTTCCTATTTCTAACATAGGAGAAGGATATTGGTAGGATACCAAGATGGTTAGGGATCCTTTGCAAGGATCCTTTGCATTTCCTCTGATTTGGCTTATCTGGTTAGCCCCAAGCCTCCCTACCTCCATCCTGATGCCCTGGGGAAGGATGAAATGGTCTGCCTTAACCACAAAGAATATCTTACACATCCTTAAATTAAGAGAGAATAGCTAAAGAGAAGGAAAAGCCCTACCAGTTGTTTTTTCAAGTTATTGTTGTTGCTTTTCTCCCCTGGTCCTCGGCTTTTGATTTTTTAGAATATGATTTAGCAAGAACTGGTAGTGTCAATTCTCTGCCAACAAAAAAAAAAAAAAAATGACAGAGGGCTAAGATCTTTTCTTTTCGCATAGCTGTTCATTTAATCTAGAAAGGTCTAGGGTAAGGGTTTTTCTCTAATGCTTAAGCTAAGAAAGCCTGTGTGGACTTCCAGCAGACACAACGGATAGCATAGGAAGAAGTTAATGGAAGAGGAAAAATGGAACAAATAGAAATGGAAAAGGAAAGAAAGTAAGAGGGAAAAAGAAAGAGGTGCATATGGTAGGGAATAATGTAGCATAATTAATCATTTTAAAGCCACCAATGCCTTAGGCTTCTCAAAGCCGGGTTAGTTCACTTACTGGGGTCTTGATTTCCTTATTGGTTTCTTCTCCTTGTGTACAGTCAGGACAGCAAGTCAGTGTGAACAGCTGGTACCAAATTTGCTTTCACGTTAGCCATCCCTGTTGGTTTGGGGTTCTCTGTATCTCTTATCCCTATATCACATTCTACTCTGCTTTGAGACAAACATTGCTGGTCTTCCTCTGAGGGCCAAGACATTCCAATTGGACGGTAGCTAGAATGAAGCAAGAGACTTGGTCCAGTTGCTTTTTAAAATCTTCAGTATCATTTGTATTTAAGGGAATTTGGGGGGAGTTTGCTTATGACTTGTTTATTATTGAACATCTTACAGTACTGATTCTGTTCCAGTTGAATTTAAGCCCCCTGAGGGCAGGGGGTGTTTGAGTTTTGTCTTTGTAACCTTATCATCTTGTATAGTGCCTAAGACGTAGGAAGCACTTAATAAATGCTTGTTGAATGAATTGTTCAACTACTAATTAGTAATAATAGTGCTATACAGTTGTTAGAGAGCCAGCCCTGGAATCATGAAGACCCGGGTGGAAATCCTTCCTTGGACACATATTAACTAAATGAGCATAGATCATTTAACTTCTCAGAATACCCAGGCAACTCTTTAACACTATAAATTGCAGATACATCATTGGAGAGGGTTTGTACACTGGGAGTTCCTCACAGCAATTATATCACAGATCTAGAACTCTCTTTCCCTCTAAAAGGAAGGAAGGAAGGAAGGAAGGAAATATTTATTAATCCTATTATGTACTAAGAACTCTGCTAAGTACTTTGCAAATATTATCTCATTTGATCCTCACAACAATCCTGGGAGAAGGGTACTATTATTTTCCTCACTTTCTAGTTGAAGAAATTGAGGCAGGCATAAAATTAAATGACTTGCCCAGGGTTACATAGCTAGCAAGTGTCTGAGACTCAGGCTGGATTTGCACTTGGGTCTTCCTGACTCCCAGCCTGGGACTGTGCCATTTAACTGCTACTAAAAAAGTAAAAACTCCAGAGCTATTTTACTAATTTTCCCTTTACATTTAAAAATATAAAATTGTTAGCATCATTAGAAAGTATTAATTAATTGCCTCCATACTTTTATGTTCCAGAGCTTACATTCTTTATGTGTTGTATTTAGTACTGAAAATGTTTAAATATTAGTGATTAACTTTTCTTTTTTTTCCCCTTCATTCTCTAGCTCTCCATGAATTCCCCAGTGACATCTTCACGAATGAGGAACGGCGACAAGGAGCTGTGATCTTACACGTCCTCTGTGTAAGTAGCTTCTGTTCTACGTTTTACATTCTACTTCCTGGATTTGGATGAAACAATGGAAAATTTTTAGAGTGAATATCTCTGAGTTCTTACACTCACACAGGTATTCTCATGTAACATATTATCACAGCTTTGTGGGAGACACCATGAAATCGATCATATGTTTTATTAGATTTGTGGATTCCTTGAAGCTGGAAGGGTTAGCTAATATACTAGATGACAGAAATGGAATCCCTAAAAATCCTGACAGGCTGAAACAATGAGCTAGGTCTAAGATAAATTTAGTAGACAGATGTAAAACCTTTTACTTGGGTTCAAAAGCTTAATTGCATGAATTTAAGATGAAGAAGATATGCTATAGAGGAGTTTATCCTCCAATTGATAAATTCACAACAAACATGAACAGGCAGTTTTTGAGGGGAAAAAATTCAAGCTATCTATAGTCACATGGAGAAAATGCTCTAAATTACTAATAACTAGAGAGAAAAAAATTAAAATATCTCTGAGGTTACATCTCATGTCCATCAGCTTGGTAAAGCTCATGAAAAATGGAAATGATGAATGATGGAGGGGTTGTGGAAAATTAAGCATATAGATCTAATGTGGATGCATCTGCAAAGGATTACAATCATTCTGGTAGCAATTTGGGACTGCTTCCCCAAAGCTACTAAAGTAAACCATACATGCCCTTTGACCCAGAGAAACCACTACTAGGCCAATGCCCCAAAGAGATCAAAGAAAGAGGAAAAGGTCTTATATGTACAAAAAAAAATTTATAGCAGCCTTTTTTGTAAAGGACAAAAAATTGGAAATTCAAGGGTGGTCCATCAGTTGGTAAATGGCTGAACAAATTGTAGCATATGAATGTAATGGAAGACTCATGTGCTGTAAGAAATTAATAAAGGGATAGTTTCAGAGAAACCTTAATGACTTGCATGAATTCAATATGGCCTTAGTAGATACAAAGTGACGGGAGCAGGACCAGAATAATTTATACTGTAATCAATATTATAAAAAACAATTCTGAAAGACTTAAGAATGCTGACCATTGCAATGATCAGCCTTAATTCCCAAGGACCATTGATACAGAATAATGAACTACTATGTTGAATGAAACACATTTTTTGAGCATGCCCAATATGGGAATTTGTTTTGTTCAATTCTATTCGTTACAAGGGTTTAGGTTTGTTTGTTTTTTTTTTTTTTTTCCACTTTCTTAGTAAGGGAGGGAAGAGGTGGAAATGAGGGGGGAAATGCTTAATAATTGAAAAAATAAAGTAGTTCATGTGAAAAAGACCCAGGAGTTTCAGTAGATCAAAAGTTCAACAGCTTTGGAAGCCAAAAAAAAAAGAATACATTAATATTAGACTGCATTAAGAGAAGCATAGCATCCAGAAGAAGCAAAGTTATTATCAAACTGTACTCTGCTTTGGTCAAACTACATCTGGAATAATCTGTCTAGTTCTCCATGCCACATTTTAGGAAGGACAACAAATTGAATTACAACATCAGAAAACACCAAAATTGGCAAAGAAACTGGAACCATATGAGAAATGGTTTTTAAAAATTGAGGACTCTTGACCTGGAGAAAAGAAGATTGTGGAAATATAAGGAGGGAAGAGAGGAAACAATTGCTGTATAATATGAAGTGTTGACTCATGGAAGAAAAATTAGAATTGATCTAGTTGACCCCAGAGGATAGAATTGGGAACAACAGTGGAAGTTAAAGGGATATAGAATGATAAAGGGAAAAACTTCCTGACAATTGATATTGTCAAAAAACTGGAATGGGTTCTTCTTGAAGGCAGTGAGTTATGTGTATATATATATATATGGTTATATGTATTATACATATATAGTTATACATATACATATAGTTACACATATATAGTTATAAATTTATACATATATAGTTATACATGTATGTGTGTATAGTTATGCATATATAGTTGTACATAGTCATACATATGTGTGTATACACGCATGTATGTATGTATGCATGATGTCGAATGTGGGATTCAACATCAACAGTTTCAGAAAAGGCTAGAGTTCCCTGAGTGTCCTTCCAAATATGAAATTCTGTAACTCTGTGAAATGCAGTCATAAAAATTTTTGCTCTAAGTAGGCCTGACTTTTGAATTCATTTCCTCTCTCTTTGCTTGCTTCTTAATACAAATAATTGTTCCTAAGTTTTTCTACCACTGTATCAGCTTAATAATACTTCTTTTTACTCAATACTGTATTTCTACCTAAATGACTAGGTCATAGAATAATAGTGTTTTATGATTTAGAGCCTGTAGGGACCTTACAGGCCATGTGGTCCAACCTTTTTATTTTATAAATGAAGAAACTGAGGCACAGAAATATACAGAGACATTGCCCAAAGACATACAGCTAGTAAGTGCCATGTGGGATTTGAATTCATATCTTCCTGACTCCAGATTCTTGTCCCCTACCCACTAAACCAAGCTAGTTTCAGACTAAGTATTTGACTAGCTAATTCATTATTTTTTTTTATGCTTTGTCTATGTGCTCAGATTTGTTTTCTGATTAGAAGATTCTCATCCCCATCTCTATCTATGGAAAATGTATTTCTTATTAAGGACCAGCTCAGATTCTATCTTCTCCATGAAGTTTTCCCTAATCATTTCAGCTGAAAAAGGGATTTCTCCCAACTCTGAATTCTTATAGGGGCACTCATATCTATGCAATTTGGAAGTCATTTATCAGATACTCTCTTGTATTGTTATTTGTATGAATGTCCTATCTCCTTATTAAATTGGTAGTTCGTAGAGGTCAAGGCCTATTTCTTATACATCTTTGTGTCTACACATTCATAATATGAACATATATGTTGCACATGTCCATACATACATGCACAGGACTATATGGAGTGTTCCTACATACACACACACACACACACACAATTTCAAAGTCAACAGACATCAAGTACATATGCTAAGGATACACTATGCTAAGCACTGGGGATACAAAGAAAGGCAATAACCATGCTTGCCCTCAAGGAGCTCACAATCTAATGAAGGAGACAGCAAGCAAACAAATGACTATATATACATATATATATATATGTATATATACAGCATCTATTCAGGGTAAATTGGGGATAATGTCAGAGAGAAAGTGGTACTAATGAGATGAAGTGAACAACAAATGTCTGAAAGAGAAGGTATGATTATTTTTGGAAAATACAATACATTAGCTTAAATTCACACTAAGATGTCAATGACTGATAGTATCTTATAATACAGCATCCATGCACACAAGGGGTGTGCTAGAGCCAGCCCTAAATAACATTCAAAAGCCTATTGTTAAATTTTCCATGTTGAGCATTAACAACCTAGGAATTGGTAATTGCTACAAATCAGGGCTCAGTTTATTATTTTGTTGATTTCTAGACTTAAGAAAATGTTAATAATGCAGATCAAACTTCGAAGTGGAATGATATACATCTTATTAAAATGTATTTATAACATTCATTTTTAAATTTAGTTTCAAATTTTCTTTCTCCTGCCCCTCCCCCACCCATTGAGAAGGCAAGCAATATATCAATTATACATGTGAAGCTATACAAAACGTATTTCCATATTAGCCATGTTGCAAAAAAATTTTTAGAAAGCAATAAAAAGCAAAAAAAAAGTAAAGAAAAGGAAAAAGGTATGCTTCAGTCTACACTCAGAGTTCACAAATTCTCTTCTCTCTCTGGAGGTAGATAGCATTTTTCATCATGGGTCCTTTGGAATTTTCTTGGATCATTGTCTTGATCAGAGTAGCCAAGTCATCACTGATTGATCATTGATCCATGATCACACATCACTGATCATCACACAGTGTTGCAGTCACTGTGTACAATGTTCTACTGGCTCTGCTCATCTCACTCTTTATTAGTTCATACAAGTCTTCCCAGGTTTTTCTGAAATCATCCCCATCCTCACTTTTTACAGCACGGTAGTATTCTGTTGGAATCAGATGCCACAACTTATTCAGCCATTCTACAGTCGATGGGCATCCCCTCCATTTCCAATTCTTTGCTGCATATATGTCTTATTTTCCTGGAGGGTCCGGTGGTTAAACATTTACCAGCATCCTCCTATATTGCTCTATAATCATTGCTTGAGCTTAGTAGAAGGCTCAGGGAATGAAGTTATCGTTGGAATCAATGGAAGCCCAGTGACTGACTAGAAGGTAACAATAATAATAAAAATAATAATAATAACAACTAGCACTTACATAGCATTGTAAAGTTTGCAAAGTTCTTTATATCCATTATCTTGTTGGATCCTCACCCGCCTCTTGCATGAGAGCAAGTTTTGATAGGGAAAGGACGGGGAAGAAAGAACATATGATATTGGATGCTGGGATTGAATACCATAAATGAAAGATCATAGAACGAGAAGTCAACTTTTCCAAGCAATCTTTCACAGTTCTAAGAAGTTACCTTGTCCTCTCTAGGCTGTTCCAAAGACGTGCCCAAAATGCACATATCTACTCAGTATTTAAGATTCTCCAGAGAAGAGAGATACTTATAAGTCAACCTTCTACAAGAAACTTTGCCTACATCTTATTGTCTTCTCTCTAAAATCATCTCCAATTTATTCTCTCTCTCTCTCTCTCTCTATCTATATATATATCTATATATCTATATATCTATATCTATATCTATATATATATATATAATATGTACACACATATGTATGTATGTATACTTTGTTTCTACACAGTGTCTCTCCCCACCCCCAATTAGACTGTGAGCCCTTTGAGGTCAGGGATTGTTTTTGTCTTCCGGTCCCCAGAGCTTAAAAGTGCCCGACACATAGTAGACCCTTCACATATACTTATTCGTTTGACTTGCATACTGGTTCTTCAGGTTATATCACTGTGCTTTGTTGTTTTTTCAAGGTTGTTGTTGCTGCTGTGGCCGCCACTGATTTTACTTGAAGGGAGGTGGTTGTTTAGCTCCATAATCTACCTACCTCTTGGTG